TGATGGATGCGGTGTATATACGAGGTGAGATCAATAAAGATCACTCGTATGGCGGCAAATCGAAAGAAAATTTAGAATGAAGATGTAGTTGAAGATTACAATGAAGATGTAGTTGAAGATTACAATGAAAGTTGATGTTAGATAGCAAGTAATGGAAAAATGATATCCGAATGAGTTGTTTGAAAAGTAATCATTCGATTAATTTGAAAATAATTATTTTCTTCGATGCATGGAGCTGCATATCGATGCTTAAAAAACAATAGTTTGTATCACAATTTTCACTGAAAATGTATTCATTACACCATAGATTCCTTGATCTATGATTACACAGACAACCTTGATGCATATCCGTATCTCCAATAATATTCAATAGCTTGTGTATTGAGGAATAATATTTACTCTTCAAATTTGACTTCAACGAATACCTCGTATATCAGTGAATAACGAAATAGCTCGATTTTTCCAGTTTTCTTCATCTCCTATTAAATTGCTATTCCGGAGATGAGAATTATTGTTTCTTAAACGTTGATATGCTCATTATTTCAACATCAGATGGTATTGAATTGAGAAATGGTTATTTATATACCAAGGTAGTAGAGAAAATCATCAATACCTGGGGCCAAACTGCACAAAGTAATCGTTCCCATAGAAATATGTTCAAGCTGTTTTTTTGATAAAAACCTCGACTTAATAAATTGTCAATTTCAGCAATATTTATGCACAACAAAAAAACCGCCCCGGTAAATTTACTGCAGACGAGATGAACTACTTATCAGCTGCTATTTCCAAAGATAGATTTCAATTCGTACTAACCTTGATGATAATTTCAAGTACTATGAACTGCGTCCTCTTTTCAACAGCTTAAATAAAAAGTTTTTGATCTTGTCCCAGTTGAAAAGAATCACAGCACAGTGGATACAAATTTTAAGTGTTTATTTTGATGACAATTCCAGACAAACATAAATACATGGGTTTGAAAGCGTCAGTTGTTCTCCAATATGCAGATGTATTACAAAATATGCCTTACCAGCTCATTCGCCACTTTTTCGATAAATTTCTCACATCATTTACCAAAAAGTTCGTATACTCTGTTTGGTAAACAACATTTCATGACATTTCGCTTTAAGGTTGATATCTTGCCATCTCACTGCCTGTGACGTCACGAATGACCATTTCCCCCCTTGCCGCACTATCAATCGAGGCAACCTTCCTCTACAATCATTATTCCAGATTTTTTGGGATTTTCTCTCCTCGTTTCTATGAAATAAAAATATATGAATATTATTTCAATATACCTGTAGTAAGGACAAATCAGATGATTTGCCTCAAAATGTCACTGTGTTTGAAGAATTTTCCTATCAGAGAGCCTAAAAGAAAAATTCACTAGCTTGTCAGTGACAATTTGTATTGAAAAAGGTTTGAAGAAGAGAAATAAAGGTATATAGAAAAAATATCAAATTTTCACTTAGCTTTGGACGTTTCGGGAACGAATCTGCTCCCGTTCTCAACATGGAAATGCCAAATAATTTTCTTTGGAAGTTTTGCTCTGCTTATAGTTCGACACTTCTCAGTGTCATACTGATGTTGGCATATGAATGGGTGATTTTAGTCAACAAATTAGTTAAAGGATGTTTTCATTAATTGATCTTGAATCTACCATTTTCATGTTCAGTTTTCAGCAGTGAATATATACCATGTTCTATCTATACCAACTGAACAGAAAGCGATGCTATTGTCTCCGTTCAGAAGAATGCAAGCAGATTCCTTGAGTTTTCTTTTTTGGTTGTTATCTTCCTTTCCTATGATTTTGATATTATTCCACTCTGACATTCATACTATTCTTTCATTCATGCATTGATAAACAATGATATCAAATCAAAAAATTTCAAATTTCGTCTCATACCAAATATTCATTGTCTAGAAATGGAATATTTGAATCACATTATCAATATTTATTTTCCTACTTTGGTTAATATATACAGAGTATCATTTTCAACCTATATTCTGCCTCTTTATAGCATTTTCCAGAGATGTCGGTGATTCCATAGCTGCTGGCGAGCAGTGTTATCACTGGAGATGATCTCACTTGATCCTCGAGTGAATCATTGGCATCTCTCTCACAGCTGCGAATGTCGTAATCCTACCTCAGTGATGATTATTACGGGAGATATAGAGGTGCAACCATGAGAAATGTGACACATTGAGTATATTTTCGCGAATATTTCTGAAGTTGTCGAAGAAAAAGGTAGGTTAATATATATATTTGAATATGGAATGCCTAGGACTATCCAACTGTGCTGAAATATTCGGGGTGTTCCATTAGAAAAAAAATAATTGACTGCCGTATCTTCTTGATGTCACCCTGTATAAAATTTCTGATGATGCCAATGGATTCTACGCATCATTCTATATGGATGAAAATTTGAAATTTTCCAATATCTCTCTTTATAAAGTACTCAGAAAATAAAAATGAAATAGGCAATTTTTCAATTTCCCCCTGTATCTCTGAAACGAATGAAGATATCAAAATTCCAATTGTACCATGCTAAGTTTCTCTAAAATCGAACCCGTAACATGTGTATCGATTTTTTGATAACTCCTTCAGTTACTGAGATAGCCTATGAAAACGCCCAATTTTGCCCACCCTGTACCGGGTGACACGTTATAAAGTACCACCCCCTATAACTCTTTTATTTTTGACAGTAGAAAAAAAATAAAAAAACTGCCTTACAGGGGATTTTTTTTCCTCCTCGAATCAACTGATATATTTTTAGTATATCAAAGGATATACAGGGAGCAGGAAAAAGTGCAAAAATTTTAAATGGAACGCCCTATATATTTTCGCCCCATTAGATAGACCTTTCGAAGCGCTTTCCGAAAATACCCCACTCAATACATTTATCTTCAGTATTTCTCATAATATAGACGTTTGAACCTGAAAGTCGTTTTGATTGATTTATGATTGAATAACTGTTCTATGATTGTAGATAGTATGCCATGAGGTAACCATGAGTAACTGCAACAATAATGAAGGTTTGTTATGACATTTCATTGTCATTTCTAGTGAAGATTAATCCCTTCATCACTTCTTGTTAATTTCCTCTATAAGTAAGTTTTTCTTGAATCATGGTGTATTCAAATAAAGAAAAGCAAGAAATAGTAACTTTATTCATAGAAAATAATCAAAACGCATCCGCTGCAAGACGTGGCTATGAATTGCGTTTTCCGAATGGTAATATTCCATCAAGGCGAACCATCAAGAACATTTACCTGAAGTTTAGAAGGACTTGCAATTTACAACGAAAAAAAAGGACATGTGGAAATGACGAAAATCATGAATTAAATGCCTTACTGAATCATATAGAAAATCCGAAAAAGTCATTGAGGATTTCGGCAAAAGAATTAAGCGCACGTTTCGGACCACATAAGAATTCAAGGGAGAGTATCCGTAGAGTTTTGAAAAAATATAAATTCAGACCTTATAAATTCCATACGGTACAAAAATTGACAGAAATTCATAGAAATCAAAGACTGAATTTTTGCAACTTGATGTTGAATAGATTGAATGATGATAGAAACTTCTTCAAACATATATTATGGACGGATGAATCAAGTTTTTCTACAAGCGGGCTGCCTAATAGACAGAATTTCAGATACTGGGCATCCGAAAATCCACATTTCGCAAGAGAAGTGCGTTGGCAAGGTCGACAAATGTTTGGTGTGGAATACTTGACCATAAAATATTAGGCCCATTCTTTTTTGAAACTACGTTGACTGGTCAATCATATTATGAATTTTTGGAAGACAGAGTAACTGAAATATTGGAAAATTTACCTTTGAGACGATATCAAAGAATAGTGTATCAGCATGACGGGGCTCCACCTCACGTTATACAACGAGTGAAACATTTTCTAGATACAAATCATGAAGAGTGGATTGGTCGGAATGGGACTATCGCATGGCCTTCAAACAGCCCCGATCTTACACCCTTGGATAATTTTCTTTGGGGATATATCAAGAATAAAATTTATCAACGGGATCTGAACAATGCTGATGATATCAAATATTTCATTAGACATGAAGTGAATATGCTGAATGAAAGACATGCCCATTTTATAGAAAATGCTATAAACCATTTACAGACTTGCTACGAAGAATGTGTTCAGAACGAGGGTGGAAATATTAGTTGTGATCAATAAATTTGTTATTTTGTTTTTGTTAATTTTCGGAAATTAAATTAATATTACAATTCTGAGTTTCAGCGATTACCTACTGTCAATGAGAATTGAATGTCATAACGATTTATCAATTACCTAGATTCACTGTCATACCATACTCTCAAAAATCATTTGAAAATCGATAAACACTTTTTTCAGGTTCAAACGTCTATATTATGAGAAATACTGAAGATAAATGTATTGAGTGGGGTATTTTCAGAAAGCGCTTCGAAAGGTCTATCTAATGGGGCGAAAATATATAGGGCGTTCCATTAAAAATTTTTGCACTTTTTTCTGCTCCCTGTATATCCTTTGATATACTAAAAATATATTAGTTGATTCGAGGAGGAAAAAAAATCCCCTGTAAGGCTGTTTTTTTATTTTTTTTCTACTGTCAAAAATAAAAGAGTTATAGGGGGTGGTACTTTATAACGTGTCACCCGGTACTTCCTCTACAAATTATCATCAGTTCTACCAACCCCACGAATTTCAGTCGGTGGCTCCATCTCGCGCCGCCTCCCGCCTGCAGCAGTACGAAGACTCTGCAGGCGTCGACGGCGGCGACCTGCCGCCTCAGGCTGACACCTCGGGCGCAGGAGGCGGCGACCAGTCGGCAGACGGCGCCACCGACGCGGACGCTGACCATCCGCCGCCGCCACCGCCGTCTCGCGGCCAGCGCACTGCCATCAACGGGGGCGGCAGTTCGAACCGCGACGCCGGCAACGGCCATAGGGGCGGCGAGCATCGGCGGCGGGACAGGCACAGCGACGACGAGGAGCGGGAGGAGGAGGAGGAGGAGGAGGACAGTGAGGATAGCGAGGAGGAGGAGGAAGAGGCAGACGTGAGGGGGCACGTTAACGGTGAGTTTGTTGTTTTGTGTTTTGCACTTGCTTATACAGGGTGTATCTGAAAAACACCGAAAAAATTCGAAGGGTAATTTTTTTTTATGTTCTGTTTTGAGCAGTATTTGATGTAGTCCCACCCTGTATTATACTCTCCTGATTGACATTGGACATGAAAAATATACATACAATTTGCATCGTTTTATCACATGGAGTTTCGGAAATACTCAAGAAATATCATCTTCAGGAGCCCCCTTTCAGGGGGCCGTAGTTCACTTAGGAGACATTTCTCAGCTTATGTTAATTGAAAGTGTTTTCCTATTTTTGATCGTAAAAGCCGCTGGTGAAGTTTGCAGGCTAAATTCGGGACACCCTGTATACATAGTTAGTCTTCGAGTAAAAATTGCCTATCTGAAGGGATGAATTAACTTGAAAGAAGTGATGCAAACATAAAAAGAAATTGTCATCGATTTGTGCAAATTTTGCTTCCGTTCGACTCCGTTCGACGAGCGCCTCGCAAATGCAAAATTCGCTTGTCAAACAAAGTGTCACTTTTGGTCCTAATAAAACAATCTACTGCTTTTACCCATTTACAGTGGCAGCAGCTTGGAGGGGAATGAGGGGATGCATGTTAGGACACATGTTTATGAAAAGAAAAAGTCTCATTTTGATCCCAACAATACGTCCTTGAAATATTCACATCGCCTGTGTATTGTTTTTTGCATTCTTGCTATTTTCTGATTATTTTCACATGGATGAACATAAAATACTTTCTGAAAAAAAATTTGGATTTCCGCAGAATCTTAGTACACATAGCAAAAGTAACTTATTCAGTTGTTTCTAAAGCTATTGACAATAAAATACCATGCCTAGGAATCTTTGTCTGGCTAAGGCCTTTGACACGGTATGTCACAAGATCTTACTAGATAAACTAGAACACATCAGCATAAGGGGCGTTGTCCTGGAATTATTAAAAATTTTTTTAATGAATAGAAGACAAAAAGTGAGATTGAATAATATTGTCAGTTCCGAAGAATCAGTCAGTTGTGGTGTTCCACAGGGAACAGTTCTTGGACCAATTCTCTTTCTAATCTACTTGAATGGATTACTATCTCTGGAATCTCAAGGAAACATCATTTCCTTCGCAGACGATACAATGATTCTATATGAATCACATTCGTGGAACTCAGTGAGAGATATTGCTCAGACCGATATGCTGAAAATCACCAAGTGGTTCTCTGCGAACTTGTTGACTGAACATTGACAAAACGAAGATACTACCGTTCGGATCGTGTAAAAAATATCTGCCAGAGTTTGAATCAATAAAAATTGGAAATCAAGACGTGAAACTATGCAATTCAACCAAATATCTAGGGATATTCATAGATTCATTTCTCAAATGGGATATCCATCTTAAAAATCTAAAAAAGAACTAAGATCATTATATACTTTACAAATTTCACCAGTGTCGTCAAATACTTACTCTAAAGGAACTCAAAACAATTTATTACTCTCTATATAGTAGAATCATAGCTCAACTACTGCATAATGGGGGGACCACTGATTTTTTAAAATTACATTATCGTGAACTCTATACTGAAACACTACCAGCGAATTAATTTTGAATTTTGTAATTCATGCTAAGACGATGGAAAAAATAAATTAGAATATGTCCATTTCAAAACACACAATTCCTGCACCGTTTGAAATTTTGTCAATTCATTGGTGTGACTGGTGCGACGTCTTATTCCCAACACGCCTATTGTCCTTGAACTGACCAATCACACTGCAACACTGCAGAATGACGAGGTATCAAAGAGAGATAGCTACAGTTCGGGACTAATACGTCATGACTCCACCATCATATTTGGCTGTTTGAAATATCGAATGAAATATGCTGATTTCAAAACGATATAGATTCGATTCCTTTCAACTTTAACTCATAATATTGATTGTACATCAAAAGTAAATCATGTTTCGTCGATTGAAAGAGGTTTGAACGGATTTCTTCTCTCAGTGGTCTTCCCCATTGGTTAGGGAGGCGTTGGTAAAACACTTCTGAGGCAGCTAGAAATTTTTCAAAAAAGAATAATACAAATAAATCTATTGCTCAGAAGTCATTATTCTACATTGCTCCGAAAATTCACAATAGCTTACCAGGATATATAAAAACAATAAATAATATAAGACTCCTAAAAAAAAAAAGGTCAAAACGTGGATGCTAAATCTGGGAAGGCTTTTTTTCCATCAAATAATTGATCAATCTTGAATAATAATGTAATAGGAAAAAATGTATCATTATATATAGGTGCATATTACGGATAATTTCATTCTTGATTTTATTAGATGTGAGATAGTATAGATTAGTTAATTATATATACCAATTCTTTTTTTTTCTTCATCGCCTGTGTACCAATATTAATTACAGTATATGTGAATCTTCGCCAATCCATAGACAGATTCTTGAAGAAAAAGCATTTGCAATAAAATCACATGTTTCACACAAATTTACTTACCCTTGTTGTTGTTGCAAATAAATTTATTTATTATATATTATTTATTTATTCATTATTCTTCTTCCTTCAGGTGGCTACTGGCGCTCGGCGACGGCCTCCAGGCCGACGTCGCCCCCCATGGGGGACAACGCGAGCGACGCTTCGGCGATGCCGCCCCCGACGGCGGCGGCGGCTGGAGCCAGGCCAAAGAGCCGCCTCGAAGGCGCCACCGCCAGCCGGTACGGCAACCTCTCCTACTGGAAGGCGCGCCGCGTGCTCTTCTACAAGAACGGCGATCCCTTCTTTCCTGGCATCGAGTTCAGGTACAGGAAATATTTGATCGAAAATTGGAAATTCATTGTGGGAATACGAAAATAGAAAAAAAAAAGAAAAGAAAAAGTGGATTTTAAAAATGCTTGAAAGACTAGAAAAGTGAAAATCGATCCTACAAAACAAAAAAACCTACTGATATTACTAAAACTATTGAAAATACTGAAAATTATGTAAATACCAAGAGTACTGAAATAGTTATTTATTCATCAAGGTAGTAAAGAATATCATTATTACCCAGGGACCAAGATTATATCCTCTCGTCGTGACATACCCTGTATACTGAAATTTCGAAGAATAAAAAAACAACTAGAATTCTGAAAATTATCAAAACTATTTTAAAACACTGAAGAATTCTGAAAATACAAAAAATACTGAATATACAAATAATATTGAAAATATCAAACATACTGACGAGGATACTGGAATTACTACAAACTACTAGAAAGTGCTGATGATAATCTAAATAACGAAGATAGTAATAAACTAGAAATACTAGAAATACTATAGAGAACAGAGGATAATAAATTTACTTGGAATACTGAAAATAGCAAAAAATACTTGATGTACTAAGAATACTAAAAAAACTCATATTATCGGAAAATAATGATAACTACATAGTAAAATTACTAAAAATACAAAAAATTATAAAAATATTGTAAATACTGAGACTACTGAAGATACAAATATTCGAATTCCTAAAAAAATACTGAAAGTATACTAAAAATACTAGAAATACTCAAACCCTAAATATCTAAAGAACTAGATAGGGAACTATAGATACTAAAAATGAAATATATGAAAATAACTATAGAGCCGCTATTAATTATCGGATTTTGAAAAACAAAAAAGCAAATGAAATGACTCATCAGATACTATTAGTAAGGTATGATAATTAATAATGGCATTATATTTTTTCATTTCTCCTCCTGATCGAGATTTTTTCTGAGTATGAAACGTTGACTTTCGGACTCAAAATGAATACAAAGAATGGATATTGACACGAACGTTCATTTCAAAGACATTAACTGCCACATTCATTGATACATCTCAAAATTTTATGAAATTATCTGTTGATTGTCAATTGAGCATTTATTTTTTATTGTATACTAGCTGTACCCTGTGCGTTGCTGTACGCTACTTACCAAAATATATTTGAAGGAAATACAGTAGTATTGAATTTATTTCGAGTCATTTTATTGATTTTAGCTGACCCGTCAAACGTTTTGTTGCTATGTTCATCATTTCTGAAACATATTTTTTCAGCTGAATATTTAACAACGCACTTTCATTATTTTCTCTTCTACTCCTGTTTAGTTTGACTGACCATAATAGCGTGTTTTGTTATTTTTTCAAACTACTATTTTTCAGTTATTATTTTTCGAAACACTATTCATTACAAAGTTCGTTCGACATATTGAATCCGCCATCTTCAATTTTCTAATTATGACGGAGGAATCATAATCTCCGACCACGAAAACCCTCAGATACCAACTTTTAATTGAATCGGATCATAATTAATAAACTCGTATACAGTATATTTTGTATCTGCCTGTCATCTTGAATTTCCCAGATTTGACGAAAAATTCATAATCTCCGAACCCGAAAACCCCCAGATGCCAATTTTGAACATAATCGGATCATAATTACAATAGCAGTTGTCCGCGATATTGGATCCACCATCTTGAATTTTGAAAATGTTCGGAAAGAATCATTATCTTCGACCCCAAAATCCCACAGATACCAATTTTGAATAAAATCGGATCATAATTACAAAACGTGTTCGCCATATTCGATCCACCATCTTGAATTTCTTAATATTTTCTTTCATGAGAGCCTTCTGACACTAACAAATACAACAAGATCAGGCCGTCTGATTCTGTCTTCCGTATGAATATTTGTACGGAGGAAATAGTGGCCATGCCACAAAACTCAATGAGTGACTGAAAAAATACTGCAATGAAAAAACAGAATAATCAAAATCCAAAATGTTCCATTATACCAAGAGTATTCTGTGACATGGTCGTGACAGAATCGAATTAATTTTGCAGGTTCAAACCGGGCAGAGACATAGTGAATCTGGAATCTCTGTTGGACAAGCTTTCCCTCAGGATGGACCTGCCTAGGGGAGCAAGATACATTTTTTCAATGGACGGGGACAGAAAATACAGATTGGATGAACTGGAAGACGGTGCTTCCTATGTGGTGTCTTCATATAAGGCGTTCAAGGTAAGTCAATTGAAATAAAAAAAAACTTTAGCTAAAAAAAATGCATCGTGATGGAACATGGAACTAAATATTTCAAGCGTGCCTCGTATTATTCACGTTGAAAAGTGTATCGGTTTTATCATAGTTGACTGATCGGACGATCTGATGAAGTGTAATAGATCTATGGTAATAGTAAATATACGTGTCATTTGTTTTGACCACACCCAGGAAATATTTGTATCCTCCTTGGCAACCAATCGTCAGTTTGTCAATAAAATTGTTTGGACCAATAGCTGTGACAGTTTTCACAGTTTCTTATGTTTTCCGCCCATCACAACATAAAAAATACATGGAAGAGAGTTTAACAATAGGTATATTTCTAGATGTATTTAGGTACCTACTCAAATACCGTAACACTAATAATTATGAAGTATGTCTCGAAAATATTGGAAAGTACTTTTTTCCACCACTAGCCTCAGATCCTACCATTACATACTTCTTTTCAAATTGGTAACTGGTATTTCACCACCAGTAAGATATATAGTTTTTATCATCAAGGACCTCCCTAGTTGGTCCTCAAGTGGGACATTTGTGCGTCCCACAGACGTCCAATGGACATCCACGGTACCAAATTCGAACGTCCTGAATGTCCCGGCAGTACGTTCTAAGGATATCCATGGGACATTATTGTGTTATTAGGGTGATGTCTCATTGCTTAACGAGACAAATGTTTCCCCTGAGATAATTAAATATTGTTGAATATTTATTGACCTATGTACATTTGTTTTTTATCATTACTACAAGGTTCACTTCGTCAGGTTTTTCCCAGTTTATTCAAAATACCTATCTGTATGTTCCAATGTATATTTTGTGAACGTTTTTGAATAAACTTATATTATTATCGTTATAAAGACATAGCTATTCTTAGTTTCGAGCTTTTGGCTCTCATCAGTGCAGCAGTGCCCCAGATGGCATTCATGACCGTTGCATAGATTTCGGGAGGATGTAAGTCAATGTTCTGCGTGGCATATAGACAGGAAATGAAAGCAGTTGTTTTTTTCTTGTTATCTACCAGGTTCGTTCATTTATGAACTCTTGTTGAAATGACTGAGCCTCGCTTTGAGCTTTATATATTGATATATTCAGTGAATGAAATTGTTACTGTTGAATATTTTTTAACAAAACTTGGTCAAGATCGATTTCAGAGGACGTCGATTCCAGTGGCTTACGCAGATTTTTTCTAAAAAATCGCTTACATGGATTCTGGATTTTTCAACCTCTTAATGTGATTATTTCAAATTTTTTGGGATTTTCTCTCCTCGTTTCTATAAAATAAAAATATGAATATTATTTCAATATACGTGTAGTAAGGACAAATCAGATGATTTGCCCCAAAATGTCACTGCGTTTAAAGAATTTTCCTATCAGAGAGCCTAAAAGAAAAATTCACTAGCTTGTCAGTGACAATTTGTATTGAAAAATTTTTGGAGAAGAGAAATAAAGGTATATAGAAAAAATATCAAATTTTCACTTATCTAAAGTAAGCCTCGGTTTTTAAAAAAAGTGGACACCGTTTAGCTTCAAAATACACCTTCTCCCCCTCCACATTTGGAAAAAAATGTCGTCAAAATCGCTACATAAAGAAAAAGAAGAGATTTGTGAGGGTGGCCTAAATGTCAAATGGGTCACTCTGTATAAGTGATCCAGTGGAAGGAATCATAATGAGTGAATATTACATGAATGTAAGATTTTGGAAGAATATGCCAGAAGAATCATTGAAATAATCGAAACTAAATTAATAACTTCGCTTCTGGAATGAAGATGATATATGTATATAGAAACAGAGGAAGGTAAGACTCAATTTGATTTGGTTCTATTCTGCTTCTTGAATGAAATAATTTTTCATGCAGGTATATTTTTTCCAAAAGTCAATGAGAGCAGCCAGCAAAAAAATATACGCCGCGCATCGTCGGTCCTCTTGAAGTTTGAACAGTCAGAAAAAATCTTCTCTTTATATCTGTTTGGTTTCTATAATATATTTTTTCAGTTCAATATTCATCAAAACACTATTATTGTTTTATTTTCTACTTCTTTTTAGTTTCGCTATCTATATAAAAGCGTGCTTCTTCAGTTTTTCAAACTACAATTTATTTCTTTTTAGTTCACTTCACAGTCCGAATATATGACATTGAACTCGGGGGTGCCACAAGGTTCAATTTTGGGTCCTTTGCTTTTCTCAATATATACCATCAATTTGATAAAATCTCTAGAACAATGTAAGATTCATGCATATGCTGACGACACACAGATTTATCATAATTTTTCTCCGCAATTGGCGGATAATGCTTGTGAAACTATTAATAGGGAACTTGCGGCGTTTATTAAGTTAGCTTCTGAACATTGTTTGTTAATAAATTGTGCTAAATCTAAAGTAATTATATTTGGTTCGATGTATAACCAGGCTAGACTTCAGCTTCCTATTAATATAGAAATTAATAACGAACCAATCGCTATAGTTAAAGAAGCTAAAAACCTTGGCATTATCATAGACAAGGACTTAAGATTCGAAAAACTTGTTAATCAATTGATTCAACGTGCATATAGCTCATTGAAATTAATTTACGGAAACAGACATTTATTTCCTCGGAATATCAAAATAAAACTATGTGAAGCATTAGTTCTATCACATTTCAACTTCGATGACCCCGTCTATGGTCCGAACTTAACAACTGTATATAAAAACAAAATTCAGAAAGTGGAGAATTCCTGTTTAAGGCTGATTTATGGTGTGAGAAGAAATCAGAGAATATCACATAAATTAACACAGATTGGATGGTTGAGTATGCAAAATAGAAGAATTCATCACGCTGTCACCTTATACCACAACATTGTTTTATTTAAAATTCCTACATTTTTTCACCACAAAATATCATTCAGGACAGATGTACATAACTTAAATCTACGATTTAAAGGTATATTATCCCCACCTAAATTTAAAACTGAAATATTCAGGCGATCCTTCACTCACCAAATTTATCAGTTATATAACTCCGTTCCTGAAAGTATAAAGAACCTCAACATTACTTGCTTCAGATCTGAATATAAAAATGAACTATTTAATTCACAAGTCTAGATATTCCTCTACCTCGCTGCCCAAAAATTATAGAAAAATTTATGAAGGTATTCATCCCTTTTCTGTCACTTTTCTCCCACTATCTATTGTCAATCAAAAGGCTACACACCATGTTCTCCTTGGCACACTGTATCAGGGTTAAGTGGAAGAGCATTTTCGTAGTGAAGCTACTGTTTCTCTACAGAAAATGAACTTCGCCCTTTATTTTCAAAAAATCTGTTTATTTTTATTCATAAAATGTATAAGTATAAGTATTACTTGAAAATAATAAAGACCTTTATTATTATTATTATTAATTACAAAACTCGTCCGCAATATTGGATCTGCCATCTTGAATTCCCTAATTCTGACGAAGGAATCATAATTTTTGATCCCGAAAACGCCCACTTACAAATTTCGAATAGAATCGGTATAATCACAAAACTCGTCCGGTATTTTGTTTCCACCGTCTTGAATTTCCAAATACCGCCCCTTCCAAATTTTGACAAAAGAATCATAATCTCCGACCCCGAAAAAACCCAGACAACAATTTTGAAGAAAGTCGGATCATAATTACAATACTCGTCCGCCATCTTGAATTTCGTTACTTTGACGAAAGAATCATAATCTCCGACCCCGAGAACCAACAGATACCAAATTTGAATAAAATCGGATCCTAATTACCAAATCCGCCATTTTGGATCCGCCATCTTGAATTTCCTAATTTTGACTAAGGTATATCATAATCCCCGATCACGAAAACCCCTAGGTACCAATTTGGAAAAGAATTGGATTATAATTACTCGTCCGCCATATTGGTTCCGCCATCTTGAATTTCTGAATTCCGCCCGAATTTTCAAATTCTGATTAAAGAATTTCCTAATGGTACCAGGATGAAAAGTATATCCTTTAACTTTCTCCTGGTTCTAAGCTACCTCCCCACCAATTTTCAGCCAAATCGATCCAGTAGTTTCGGAGCCTATTCAATACATATACAAACAAACAAACAAACAATCAAATCTTTCCTCTTTATATTAATAGTATTTTTTTATGTTCTGGTTCCCACGAAAAGGGATTTTCTGTAATGTTCAGAGAACATCGTGAGAACCAAGGGAAATGAGGTAGCAGATAATCTCTGGAGGTAGGAATTGGTGTTCTTCATAAATTTATCGAGACGGGCAGACATATTTTTGAGTCGGTGAACAGACAATATATCTATCATACGTCGCCTAGTAGAGTTTCATTCAGAACTCAACATTTTTTTTTTCTTTTGGAGCGCACGAAAGGAAATTCCTATAATGTTCGTGGAACATCGTGCCTACAATGTATACCCAATGCCTTTCTCATTCAATATTCAATCGACATATTATTATATCTAACTCAATCTCTGCTTTCTCCTGAATAATCTAGAGGAATTAACATGAGAAGATATATGGAAAAAATAAATTGAGGCCAATATTGTGGTCAAACTGTTATTCTGCGTATTCATAATCACGATTGAATAAAAAGCTGATATATTGCTGGACGTAGAAGTGACCCACTTGAACACGATAACATACACTTGTGTAGTAAGGGTGGTTTATTTTTGGCCTAAATTCTCTAGGTAAACATGAAAACTATACACAGATTTACATTTTGAAGGGCTCCCGTCTGTGGTAACACGCTTTTCTTCTATCTTGAATATTTTTCTGCAAATTATCTATAATTTTCAAGCGACTGCGATGGTATATCATTATAGATGCCATGTGAAAAATTGTCAGAAATACATGAAGGTACTATACGGGGTGACGTTTATTCAACATAATTCATCTCTTTGGGAATTTATTTCAGGAAATATACACTCACCAGCAAAAAAACGACCAGAGAAGAATATAGCCAAATTGATCACTTTGTAACTTTTTCGAATTGA